GGCAGTTGGGCCCAGGAGCCTCTCCTCGGGATGACTCCCAGCTAGACCAGAGAAGGTGCTGGCCAGGCCTGGGGAGGGCCAGCCCAGTAACAGACCGTTCTGGGCAGACTTCCTGGGCTGCCTGCCTGGTGTCAGAGCCTCCAGGAGTTGATTAGTCTAGAGGAGCAGAGTGGTTCCACCAGCCCTGCTGGTCAGGAGCGGAGGAGCCGGCAAGCCTTGCTTCAAAGGGTACTGTTCTGACCCCTTTGGGGTTTGCCTTGGAGAGAGCTTCTCCGGTTGCAGCTTCAAAAGCCACTGAGATGCAGAGACTGTGTCCTCATGGGCAGTGTGTGAGAGACAGCCGGCCCTCCTGGGGCGCTCAGCACCCCCTTTGTTGTTGCCAGTTGTCCCACAGTGCTTGGGAATTGTGCCCACCCGTCTACAGAACCTCTCCAGTTTTATTTGGCCTTCAGGTTCTGTAGATGCCATATCCCAGCCTGGGTGCTCCGACTTCTTGCTAATTTCCCAGGGTCCATGCTTGCTGTTCCTCAGCTCTCTCTGTGTCCCAGAAATGGAGCTTCACAGAGTAAACAGTTCCTGCTGGTACCCCTGAGCCCTCACTTTCTAAAGAGATGTTTGACTGAGGCCAGCATTACTGTCCTTACTCATTCTCCTTCTTTCTCAAAAGAAAACAAAGGGTTTGGGGATGGGCAGAGACAGGCCTGGTCCCAAGGATTCCAGCTGAGCTCCATCTTTCCCATCTTGCTTTCTACTTGGGGGTTTATGGTTCTAACGTGTCACTGAGAGGTCCCTGTGCCACTCACCTGGCCTTTGGACCTGGTAACTGACCTGGCCTTGAACCTCCTGGGGGCCTTTAGCCTTGAAGGGACCCAGAATAGACAGAAGGCTCCCCAGTTTCCTTGGCATGCAACCCACAGGAGAGGTGCCCTTGGGGAAGCCCCTATGAGGACGGATCCCAGCTTTTCTTGGTGGGGAGTAGCCTTGGGCCTGTGAAGGCCAAGCAGACTAGGGAGCCTTGGGCTTCCCATCACACCAGCTGCCCCTGCTGGCTTCTCCTACCTCCTCCCCTGACCTGTTTCTCTCCTCCTCCACATCCCTTCCTCCTGCTCCTCCTCAGGAGAGGGGCAGAGAAAGGTGAGAACCCAGCCAGTTTGGGCTGCAGGCTGTGGGGGTGGGGTTCAGAGTGCCCTCTTTCCCAGTCCATTTGTATGACTTCCTCAAGAAACTTGGGGGACCAGCAGTTAGCGTAATGGCTATGTCGCTGGACTCCCATGTAGTCGACTGTGGTTCACATCCCGGACCTGGTGGCTTAAAACATGCCGGGCACGTGTGCGTGCATGCCCAAGATCCCAAGAGGAGAATGGAGGAGAAGGGATTGTGGGTGGCCAACCCCCCTGGGGGGTGATTTCTCGCTTTCGATCTCTCTGTCTCTCTCTGTCTGTCTGGCGAGCGCACACGCCCTATAGCAAAAACCTCAAAAAAAAAAGAAAAAAGAAAAAAAAGAAAGAAAGAAAGAAAAGAAAAAGGAGGGATTTGGGATCTGGGAAACGCAGCATTTCTCTGTCTGTGAGGGTTCCCGGGGCCAACGAGCTGGTAGAGCAAGGATTTGAGGCCCCAGCTGGGCAACTGTGGCAGCCTGCTGAGAGGAGGGAGTGACGATGACCCACTTGCCTCCAGATGGAGGTTCTGCAGTCGCTGTGGATCTGGATCGCAGTCAGCTGAGGAGCTTAAACAAACAAAGCCCCCACAGATCGCTAAGTCTGCCCGAGTTCAAAACAGTTTCTACCCTTGGCGGGAGGTGGCATGTACCTCCTACCAAGGCGCTTTCCCTTGGGCCCAGCCACCAGGAGCGTGGGGGCCCTAGGCTTTGGGGGTGGGCAGAGCATGCTCACCTGAGCCTGGATTCCTCACCTGGAGGCCACCGCAGCCTCTTCCGTCTGCGAGCTGTGTTGGCAGGCAGAGTGGATCTTAGAATATGGGCTGGCGTTGGACTGGGGGAAAGGGGGCTGCAGCATGCTTCTGGGGCTTCAGGGGACTGAGCCAGGCTGTCCCAGCCCTGCTCTATGCAGGGAGTATTGAGCCATAGGACGTTTCTGTTTTTTAAACTCCTGAGTTGTGTTTTTGAAGGGGGAGGAGTCACAGATACTTCAAAGTGCAGGTGTGGAGCTTGGCAAGGCTTAGGCGGGACTTGATGCAGTGTAAGCTGCCTTCCCCTGGGGCCCTGGGTGAGCTGGGGCGCTCAGCTCGGCAAGCCTGGAGTGGCCTACTGGGTGTGGCCTACTCCAGGCCCTGCCTGTGCTGCCTTGCCTTGGGACTTCCTGATACCAGAGCACCTGCCCAGGAGGTGCTGCTGGCGGTGCAGGGTTTGTGAGCACCCAGGGGATCACAGTGGGGAGCTCCCTGGGGATCCAGAGCCCTAGCTCATGCCCCGCAGCTCCCACTGAATCAGTGATGCCTCCCCTCATCTCAGGCACCGGCAAGTCCACTGTCTGGGGCCTGGGCTCCAGCTGTGGCCATGCTGAGTTTCCCTGTCATCTCTGGCCATGGCTGGGTAAGGCAGAGAAGCAAGCTGTCTTTTGCCTTTCAGCAGCTCTGATGAATCTCTTCCTGATGGGGAAGGCTGCAGCAAGACTCCTGAGGTCCCAGAGCCCCCACTTTTAACTCTTCGCTCTCCCCGGCACTCCTCTCCCCACTACTCCTCCTTTCCACTTCCTGGTCTCTGGGTCATGTTTCTGTCTGTCTCTGCCTCTGATCAAGACTCTGAGCCCATGCTGGGCATGGGGTAGGGAGGGTTAGTGCTGGCTGAGGAGGTGAGGAAGAGAGGAAGAGCCTCCTCCCCTTGCTGGGGTCGGGGGAAGGCACCTCTGATTCCATGGAGCCTCCACCCAGCCAGGCTTGGTTGGCCGGGTGTGCTGGTTGCATAATCCAGCCCCGGGGCCAGCCCTCTGTAGCTGCCAGGGACAGTGTGTGCGAGGCAGAGCTGCCAAACAGGCCTTGCAGGCAGCGGCCATAGGGATGGCGGGCGGAGGTTACTCCCAGGTGGGCTCTGGTGGGAAACCCTCGGCTGGCTTCTCAGGAAGCTATTTCTAACACCCTGGTTCCTGCGGCTGACCCTGTGATCCTTGCATCCCAGGATAATCTCCATTCTCAAGGCTGGGGTTGCTAGGGCTAAGTCCTGGCCACCAGGTGGTGCCTGGACCACAGGCAGAATCCAGGTGCTAGCTGCTTCCCCCCCAGGCCACTTGGGAACCACAGCGTCTCTTTTGAGTTCCTCTGTCATAGGAAGTAGGGATGGGGCAGTAGGATGGTGAGGGAAAGGGTTGATTCTGGCTGTGGGTAGAGGCCATGCAGTGACCAGGTGATCTCATGCTCACCTGAGGCCGTCTTCCCCACCAGGTGGGTTGCAGCTTACTCACCTGGGTGCTGCCGCCTGCTGGCTTGCCAGCCCACCGACTGCCCTTCCTCCGCCCTGCTGCCAGGCTGGGCACGGGAC